CCCCAAAACCCCAAAACCCCAAAACCCCAAAACCCCAAAGAACTGTATAGAAAAAGAAAAGGAATAAATAAAATAAATTTAATGAAAAAATAACTATAGTTGTTAGAGCAATCAAAGAATTAAAGTCAAAGTCCGAATCTGCTTCACGCTGCTAAAAACTAACAATCTACCAAACAGTCTAAGAATTTCAATCCCTCTCTTGGGAAACAGCCGATGTCCCTCGACTTTTATGAAAAAAATCTCACCGATATTAAAGATATTTTGATATCATCAGCTAGAGATGAGCAAATTTAATATAAACAAAGAGACAACAAACATAGAAAGCAAGCTTAATAATTCTAAAAGTAGCAAGGGTCTAAACCCATGATATTAAGTAAGGCTGGCGAATATGACACAAGTCTTATTGATATGTCTAGAGATGATGGAGATTTCATAAGAACTCAAGGGAATATGACTAAATTATAAATGCTAAAATGTGAACTTATTGATGAGGAAAAGTAAAGCAACGGATATACAGTTTAATGTAAAAAGGAAAAGGATTAGACAGGAACAAGTAGTAATTGCCGTAATTTGATTTAATAGTCGCGAAACCAAAATTTGGAGTAGAGGTATAGTGAGATGAATACCACATAACAGATGGCTTATACACTTAACAATAACAGCTTCAATTAAGAGGAACCTTTATTGCAACTATTTCCTCTTCAAAGTCTTGATAACAATCAAATGCACTCTCCGCAACAGCAAATTTTTCAGTTTTTTTCTCCATCAAAACTTTTAGCAAATAATAAAATTGATAAGAGAAATACTTAAAATTTTATGGAATTTAAGAAAAGCTTTTAAAAAAACAGTAAAACTTAAAGAGAAGAAGTCAACGATAATGAGGAAGAATTGATTATAATAAACGATTAAACTCACAAAAATTCTGAAAAAATATACAGGAACCACTTAGATGCACCAATAATTTAATCTGTTCAATAATCTAAAAAGATATTGGTTATAGATACTATTGAAAACCCAGAGACTATAGCTCATCTTTAAGAGAATCTAAATTCTAAGCTGTATAAAAATGAGACTGACGATTTCTATATGTCTACTGATAGATAAGGAGGACCTCTACTTAAAAATGATCTGGTACGAGATGTTCTCCGATAATCTAAAAATGAATTCAGTTCTGCTGCTTAACTTAGTGAAATTCAATCATAGGGAGATTTACTTTAGCCAAACTCGCTATCTAGTCTAAAACAATCTTAGATTTAGACCAAGAAAAACTCGCCTCATAGAAGACCAGCATCATAAAACAAAGAAAGAAGCTCTTTCAAGAAAAAGCATAATCTACTCAGAAATGAATCAAATAATTCTTCTGAATTTGAAGAAAATGCTGGTGTGACTAGTGGTTATGAGAAAAACTATTAATAGAAGAGATTTTTGAAAAAAGGAGAGGATTATGATTCCTAAAAGCCTAGTTCGGAATAATAGAAACAGGATAGACTATAGGCTGTGAGCTCAATGGATAGTTAATATGATCTGGTGACTCTCTAAAATATATAGCCATTCACCAAAAATAAAAACGTACTATTAGAGCTTAATTTAAGACTTGTGAATATGAAAGATGTTGACCCTTAGCTTTTCAAATCAAATAGATATTTGAAATACATTGATTTAAGAAACAATAGACTAAAGGAAATCCCTGAAGAAATTGGATAGCTATAAAATCTCTGGAAGCTTAGAATAGATTACAATTACTTAACATAATTACCTAAAAGTCTAAGCTAACTTGCAAGACTTGAATATTTCTCAGCATCTTAAAATAAACTTACATATCTACCTGATAACTTGTTTCATGCTAGCTCTTAGATATCTGTATTGATATTAAATGATAATAAATTACGAGATCTTTAAAATTCAATCAACCATTTGCAAAACCTAAATGTTCTACTTCTCCATAATAACCACCTTACTGAGCTTCCTTTTTCCTTATGCAATCTTAAAGAGATTGCAGAGTTTAGCTTAGATTGGCTAGCTTATAAGGATATTATTAAAACTTCGAACCGCCATTTGAAAGGTACCAATGCTAGGTAGACAATAACAGATTTTTAGATGTTTCTAAGAGCCTTTTAACTTGTTGCATAACTTAACAAACTACCAATAGATAAAGTGCATTTCACTCATTTCTTAATGTACTTTCATCGCTTAACTATTGCATCAGATATCTAAAATATACTATATACACAAAAAAGAAGAACAATATTTCACCTAATGGCACTTAATGGACAAACTTATCTATTCTAGGATATTATAGAAAACTTTTCTGATTTGTATTTGGACATTAATAAAACTGACAGTGATGAGTCAACTCCATTTGTGCTTGCTATCAGAAATAAGAGAAAAGAATTTGTGAAATATTTGTTGACTCTGCCTTTGACAAACATCAACAGACCAAGTCAAAAATATGGTCATCCTTTACATCTAGCTATCAAAAGTCATGAATTTAAGCTGGCGTTAAGATTGCTAAAAGGTTGCTAGATGATTCATCAAAGACACCTCGATGTCAATAATGTTAGTGAAGATGGGAATAACTCAATGCATTACTTATTCTCAAATTTCTATATTTAACCTGAGATATGCACTGAAATAGCTAAACAACTTATCAAACGAGGCATCAACATTAATTTAAAGAATAAAAATGGCTATTCACCTCTTCAAATCGCTATAATAGGTGGCTAAAATGCAGCTTTACAATTTGCAATTGATTTCAATAAAGCTTAGAGAAAGAACGAAAAAGACACTTAAATCTTCAATTTCAACCAAAAGGGTGGGAAATTGAACTAAAATTGCTTATATCTGAGTATATAGCAAAATAATATAAGAGTCATATCCACTATATTGAACAGTGATGAAGTTATGGATTTCTTGGCGGTTGATGATGAGGGAAGATTTCCAAAGGATATATGCCCTTATAATTCGCCAGTTTATAAGCTTTTGTGCTAATATGAGAAAAGAATTCACAGAAAGTTATATGATCTTATTCAAAGTGAGAGTCATAACGCAGATAGCAATGGACAATATTAGGAGACCAAGCCAGAAGTTGTCTAGTATTTCTTAAATAAGAGAAACTATGAAAGTCCCTAGAAAATTAGAAAGAAAATTTTAGAGAAAGCCTAGCAATAATAAGATAAAACAGCTAAAAAGAGAAAAAGCTTCATTAGAGGTAAATCTTAGATCAATGCAAATAAGTTAAATGAAAATGATAATTTTTAGCAAAGCAAAAATAACAATGAAAGCAAACAAGGGCATCACAGGTTATTTTCAGCAAATTAAAAAGGATCAACAGATAAGATCAATCTAGTATAGGACTTGGAATCATCTGAGGATGAATAGGAAGATGATAATATGAACTTCAATGGCAACTCCCCGAATTCTGGAGGCTTGATGAGTGTTAATTTCAGTATGGTTTCAAGTAGATAAAAATAGCAGGTAAAACCCTCAATTACTCCTTTAATGCAAAAAGAGTTAAGTATCGATGTCTTAATGAAAGCTGAGAGTAAGTATGAATTTCAAATTCCAACCATTTCAAGTAAAGCTCAGCTTTAAAGAAAAGGAAGTATCACCTCTTCAGATGAAAGCTAAGCTTCTAAAACAGTCGATATTGGAATGAGAGACAGTGATGAATTAAAAACTCATAGAGATAATGACTATGGCTTCACAATATAATATTAGCAAGTAACTTAGTCTACTAAACAAAGAGTTTTTGCTTCAAAAAATAAGATCTAGAACATTAAGGATAAATAAGAGAGCATAGTTAAAGAAAAATTTGAGGATGATGAAGATGATGCAAATGTTCCAGAAGAAGAAGGATCAGGCGAGAATGAACTATAAAAACCTTAAACAAGGCTTTTCACAAAAAGTCCATCTTAAAAGGCATTCTTTCTAAATGAAAATTTCTAAGATCCAGATATGATTTTACTGGCTAAAAATATCCTAGATGAAGTCAGCAAGAGTCAAATTAAGTATCAGCCTCACCACCTCAGCAACATTAATCATTTGCAACTGCATGGATACCCTACAATCCCTACTCAAGAAATGATTAATATGACAAGTTAGGTGCAGCTATAAAATTAATCAATGAGTGCTTTTCCAGAATACAATGTGCAGTTAAGTGACGCTAGTTATATTTATCAGGTTTAGGACGACTCTATAGGGATTCAAGCGCCATTTGACCCATCCAAAAACATCAAGATAGGTGTTGGTCTTCTAAAATCAGCCAATCATAAATTCAATGATATCACTTAAATTCCAGTTAAAAATGACTACCAAATCTATGAAGAGTTCTATTACTTACTTGCCTCTAGCAATTATACTCAATGCATGCAGTTCTTACTGGCAAATATTGAGAATGGGATTATTCTTTCTAGATACTTTATAGATTTTGTGTATATACTATCTTTACAGCTTAAGATAAAAATGATACAATAGTTAATGTTCGAAAAACCTGAAACTGATCAGAATGAAAAAAGAATAAGCAAAAACCTTTATGAGCTATTCATGTTTGAGTTGATAAATAATCATGAGGTTAAAATCTACGATAGTCTTTAAAAATATTCATGTGTAACTTTAAGACCAAGTTCGAAATAAATTATGATTCTAGATTAAAAATCTTCTGAAAAGATGAAGACTGTTTATGTTGATGGTCCAATCTTAAAAGTATAACTTAAAAAGTCACCATCCTTAGTAATTAATGAAAATATTGAATTCAAACAGCAAGAAGTTGCAACTAATAGAAGTAACGCAAGTTAAAGTAATAATAAGGATGTAGGGTCTACTACTCAATCAATCAATAAAGGACTAACCCCAAAGCCTCCTCTTTTTGACATCAAATAGATGATTTAAGGTAGAAAGAGCTTAGACTTTGAGAAGAATTCTAAAACTCAATAGTCAATCAAAGGCTAGGAATTTCTCAAGCAAATTAAAAAGCCTCTTTTCGATAGAGAATAAGAGAGAATGAAGGAATCAAATGATAGTTTTAGCAGAAAAACGTCACTAGTTAATAATTCATCTTAAAATATCAGCAAGAAAAATAGTGTTACTTAATTCTAATAAAATTATCAGGCTCTATTTAAAAATAGTACAACTCAGATGACTTAAAACAAGGTATTTTCAATTCATGCTCTTAATTCGAACTCCTACAGAAAAATTCAACAGAAAGGAGCTGGATAAAAAATAGTAATGATTGAGAAAAATAAAAAGCATTTAAAGCAGCTTGATATTAAAAAGACCCCCGTCAATGATAATAGGAACAAATCTGCATTTAGCCAGAACAAGGTCAAGAAATATCTTGCTACACCGGCAAACAGAAAGACTACTGCAACTGCAATAAAGTAGATAGATAGTCGAATGAAATTGGTTGATTATTAGATAAATAGCCAAAGAGACTCCAATTACTATAAATTGGCAAATTTCAGTGCACCCGGCAAGTAAAGAAAGAGTAATAACTCAAATATCTAAAGTAGAAACTCATCAAATAAGATTTTTATGACTGATGAATCAATGGGTAGAAATAGTGTTAAGCATAGTCAGCAAAAAGAGGAAGATATTTACACTGAAACCAAATTTTAGCTATCTGAAAAGGTTAAGAGAAGAGACCAGCAAATAAATCCAGTATTCAGAGATTCTAAACTTCAAATTCAACTTTTTAGCTAAGATGAAGATGCAGATTTCTGTCATGAAACACTTAGATTAAGGGAGCATCTAGATGTGCTCAAGGACAGTCATATTAATAAAATGGATAAGGTGCATGAATCAGCAATCAAGAGAAAATAAATGTTTAGTTCTCATAATTACCCATTTGACTAAAAGAAAAGTATTACTAGTTAAAGCATAGATAAGAATAAATATAACAGTAGCAAAAATAAAATCTAAAATTAAGTTGATAATAATATCACGGATTCTAGTGACTCGCACTTGGAGAAAAAAATCAAGAGTCTGTATAGAAACTCTGAATAGCATAAACCAAAGCCATCCAATGTAGAGAGCTAATTAGCTCAAGCCTTAACCACCAAGAATTAGACTACTAGAACTATGCCTTACTAGCAAGATAAACTATGGAATAGAAATACCAATATGACATCAAAGAACAAGAATAATAACATGCTCTATGGAAATGATGACCTTTGATAGAAATAAATTGTATATATACAATGAAGCCATTATTGAAATAATAGATTTGAGAAATTAGGCTGCCTATATCTGTTGCGGAATTTCTAAATCCTTAATTTATTAACTTTATTACGCAGCAAATCTTTTATTTAAATTAATGAATAATTATTTATATTATAAGTGTCAAACTATCATTACTGTCTGTGACTGTCATTTAAGCTTATGAATTCTTAACTCTTATTGGATAACTTGTTCATTTTCTTGCCTATATTATGCTGGAACATACGATTTGAGATACTTATTTGATCCTTACTTTGAAGGATGGTTTGAGTCACATTTCTTTGTCTTAATTCAAGAGTAGGAGAGTCAAATTATCGGTTATTATTAGTCTAATCGATTTCACTCTCTGACTCACTTGAATCTTGTTGTGGCCCCATATAGGATAAATTCAGCTTTTCTTGTTTTTAATGGGGGTATAATTCCAAAGTATACTAGTTTGTGTTGAACTTGTCTCTCTTCATATACCTTGCAATCTAGAAATCAGCTGAATACCAAGAGTATAAATGCATCCATATTAATGGAGATACAGATAAGAAATCATAGTTTTCAACCAAATTTTCTCTAAGTCTCTTGATATTGCCCTTGTATTGGTGATCTAAGAGTTCATTATTATCTATCTTTTATGGCTTTTGATAAAGAGTAGAGCTATCGAATCTGATTGTTCTTTCAGACTATTGTTATTGAAGATCTTCAAGCATATCTTATATAAGAGTTTTTGTAGAAACTGAGAAGCAATTACTCATGATACTTGTATCAAAATTAGTGAAATCACACCATTTACGAATCCATCTGGCATCGATGAGGTATCTTTTGAGCTTCTTTTCTGTTGGTGGTTTTTCTAGCTCTTTCTGATAGCATTCCAAAAGGATGTGTCTTTACTCTCTTGCACCTAGCAACTTACAATAGTTTCCACAAGCATTTTTTGGGATATCCTAGAGTTCAGTTTTTTCATCTGAGTAGCCATTTATTTTGCATTAGCATTTGCTGCCCTTTTGCTCAATTAAAGCCTTATAGCCTCCGAATTCCATAACATTATACTTATTTTAGTAGTCAACATTACTCTTATGCTTACTAATGTAACGACTTAATTCCATCTTTGAAGATTTATAGACTGAGTTTACTCCTCCAGTTGGAATCATGCCACTCATAGATGTATTTAAGCTGCCCTTTATGCCTATCATACTGTGATTAAGATTATTTTAACTTTTGTTTGCTAATTTTTCAAGATGTCTTGGTTCAGGAGTGTAAGATCTCTTTTCATCACATTCATCACTTGCGATGGATTCTTCATCATCAATATCATTATTTATACTCTACTTTAGATTTTAGGGTTTACTGTTCATATAGTTTTTGAGAAGTGGGTTCTTTGTTTATTTCTGATTGTGATTCTCTTTCCCAATAACCTTGATTATATTCTAAGCAGAGGACAATCTGCCGGAAGATTATAGCAAAATTTATTGAGGGTCATTCATGTTTATTTTGATGGCTCTCTCAGTAATAATCTCATGATCTTCATCTTAGTAATTGTCCATTACATCTGAGGGTTGAGATGGTTGAAACTTCACACTCGAATGGTGCAAGGATGAATTCTAGTTAGTTGTTGATTAGACTTTTGGTTAATAAAATTAGGCAAGATTGTTAGATTATTAATCTTCTTACTTCCTTGTAGTATTGCTATTTATAAAATTGAGGAATTTAGGACTGTCTATAATTGAAGACTAATCTAGTCCTCTATTCTAAGATTAATCATCTTAATCTGGTTTCTTTACTGATGATTTATTCAAGCCAATAGTGCTTTGATTTTAGCTTTAATTATGGCTTTTATTTTCCTTAACTTGACTTATTATCCCCTTATTCTTATAATTGGCCAAAGTTTATTTCTAAAGATGACTAAGAATGTTGTTTCCCTAAAGTTTATCTGACAGAGTCATGCCTACTACGATTGAGTACTTAGAACTGGAAGTGATAGAAGCCTTGTCTTATTAATTTAAAAACCCTCCTTTTCTACTTCTATTTGGAGATTCTATTGGGGTGTTGGCTTTGTTATTTAGCAGACCAACTTAGAGTGTGCTTTCTAGATCTGTATCTTCATACTTGCTATGAGGTGATATAATGTTTTAATATGCTTTTTATTGTTTAGGGTCTCTTAAGGATGTAATAGGTCTCTTGATATTAGCTGTATGTTCTCTGCTTTTATTCTTTGCTGGAATATGATGTTTTTAATTGTGAAGTGTGTGCTGCTATTACTACTATTAATGCTGCTTTTATTCTTGCATTTTGTCATTAACTTTTTATATGGTATGAGATTTGTTTAAGTACTGATCATTCATTTCCTTCTTAAGATCTTTCAAAAGCTACAGCTAAGTTTAGTTTTGAGAACTTAATTATTTAAGATTTAAATGAAGCGTTGGAGGCACATCTAGATTAATGCTCAACCTAAATAAATTATTTTTACACATTATTTAAACTTACTCATTAATTTGTCTTTTCTTCGATTTATATTCGTCATCTATATTTTCCATTGAGAATCTATGATTAGGTGCATCTAAAAAATTCCTCTAATTATCAATAATCTACTCCTAAATGTCCCTCAAATATTTGTTACTTTACTCCAATATTGTTATTTTCTACCTAAGTACATCAACTTCAAAGCTCATGCTAGTCCTTAACTCCTAGAATTAAGACTTCAAGTCATTGATCATACTATAGAGCAAATGGTTACTATCCTAAGATTTGATAGAGCTCATTAGTGGATCTGGCATGAATTGATTAGCATTGTTGTTTATATCATTAAGCTCTTAAGATCTCATATTTTTACCTAGATCTATGATACTTTTCTACTAAATTAATTGCTTTGTAGATGAGTTCTAGCTAATTGTTTCTCGCTTTTGCTACAGCAAAGCATTTGCATTTCGCTAAACTATATTATCAGCAAGATTAAGGGAAGAGTTATGATGCTGTTACTAAGGCTATTGCTGCTATTGCTTGATTTAGTTCAAATTTTTCTGAACAATTTTCTGATTGTAATTAGCTACTAAATCCTAAGTCTAAGTCTAGCTTTGATGCTTCTATGACTAGTAAGAGGTGTCTGGTGATCCTAGAAATTATTATCTAGACTGAGGTATTTTATTAAGTGATGAGGCCTGAGAATAAGAAGAATTCAGATTTGCAGTCGACTTTAACTTGCTTTATTAGCTATTTTTCATATTTTCTATTATTTAAATAGCCTTTTGCTAAATTTAATTTTATTTCTCCGGGGTTTTGGGGTTTTGGGGTTTTG